GTGAGCCACTGCGCCCGGCTAATATTTGTACTTTTAGTAGAGATGGGGTTTCTCCATGTTGGCCAGGCTGGTCTCAAACTGCTGACCTCAGGTGATCCACCCGCCTGGGCCTCCCAAAGTGCTGGGATGACAGGCATGCGCCACCGCGCCCAGCTAATATTTGTACTTTTAGTAGAGACGGGGTTTCTTCATGTTGGCCAGGCTGGTCTCAAACTCCTGACCTCAGGTGATCGACCTGCGTGGGCCTCCCAAAGTGCTGGGGTGACAGGTGTGAGCCCCCACACCTGGTCCTGATTTGAGTTTTCTTTTATGTTTGTGAACCCAGGTGGGACGCCTCGGGCCGGCGCCGAGAATCTGACCTGCTGGGTTCATGATGTGGATTTCATGAGCTGCAGTTGGGTGGTAGGCCCCGCGGCCCCCGCTGACGTCCAGTACGACCTGTACTTGAACAATCCCAAGTAGGTGTGCCCTTGGGCAGGTCGGGCTGTCCCCCGTGCAGGGGCCTTCGGGGCACGGTCGTCCCGCAACCTTACCGCTTACCGCAGCAGCCACGAACAGCACAGGTGTCTTCACTACAACACGGATGCTCGGGGAACACAGATCGGGTGTCGGTTCGATGACATCGCTCGACTCTCCCGCGGATCTCAAAGTTCCCACATCCTGGTGAGGGGCAGGAGCGCAGCCGTCAGTATCCCCTGCACAGATAAGTTTGTCTTCTTTTCACAGATTGGTGAGTAGCCCACGACATTCCCTCCCACCCTCAGCTCTGCGAGGCCACAGTTTTAGCCTCGGGCCACATCCCACGGACCGGGTGGCCCCACACATAGACATTGGCCTCTCGCATTTCCAGAGGCTGCACGTTGGAGGTCAGGGTGCTGGCCGACTGGGCTCCTAGGGAGGTTTCCTCCTGGCTTGGAGAGGGTCATCTTCTCACTATGTCTTCATATGGTAGAGAGAGAGAGAGATGAAGTTCTGGGGTCTCTTGTTAGAAGGGCACTCACACCGTCATGCGTCCTGTCACGGGTCATAGGATCCCCCGTCACGGGTCCCATCATGAGTCACAGGAGCCCCCATCGTGGGTCCCATCACGGGTCATAGGAGCCCCTGTCATGGGTCCCACCAAGAGTTAGGGGACCCCTGATCATGGGTTCCACCCTGAGTTATGTGATCCCTTATCATGGGTCCCATCATGGGTCATGCAACACCCCCATCATGGGTCATAGGATCCCCCATCATGGGTCCTATCATGAGCCATGGGACCCCCCCATCATGGGTCATGAGAGCCCCCATCATGGGTTCCATCATGAGTCATAGAATCCCCCATCATAGGACATAGGATCCCCTGTCACAGGTCCCATCATGGGTCATAGGATCCC